CCGTTTCCACCAATGTAGATTAACTTTAATCTCGGTTCAACTTACTCTTCGTCTTTTTCTAGCTCTAAAGATTAGAAAAAAACGAAGAGTAAGTTGAACCGAGATTAAAGTTAGTATCTACATTAGTGGAAATGGGCATTAATATGCGTGGGAAGATTCTTATATATTCTTATATATGTATAAATAGAATAATATTGAGAAAAATTCTAAGAAAATTTAATTCTGTTTAATTCTATAGTTTTACACGTAACGTTATTGATAAAAAATAATTCTCTTACCAGGATATATCTCCAGTTTCTTCGCTTCAACGAGTGCGTCTTTGCGAAGGACTTCGTGTTCAAGGATATATTCATCGTCGGAATGATGGTTTACGACTGTAATTGCCTCGAAATTGCCGAGGATTAGGAAGAATATCAGGATACTAATCGTACCGATGTTGATCATGCTAGCGTCGCCTGATTTCTCATCTTCGATGAGAATCGTTATCTTCTCAATTACAATAAACGACTTCTGCCTCAATCTTTCTTCGTTGATGAAATAATTTCTGTCAAATTTAGAAACAATAAACTTTAGTCTATTTTCTAGATTATTAGTAAAAAAAAATACCAAATTAAATTTAGTTTAATTCTAATAAACTGCTTTGTCATGGAAAAATTATTTGCTTTCGGATTCTTAATTGCAATATAATTTTTCCAAATAGTTCAAGTCAAACGTTTCTTAATAAAAATTCACAAAATATTTGCAATTAATAGCAATTATTAAATGTTTGTATTAAAAATAACAATATCTAAGAGAGAGATTGTACCCATGACGCGACGAAGTCGATCCTTGAATGGAACAATACAAAAGCTGCAAGATCAACTACGACTCTGAACTCAACATGCGTCTCTCTTATTGTCCGGAATTTCAGTAGGAATACATACAATGAAGCAACTGTCGCAACCGGAAGTGTACAGAAGATACGGCATGGAAGTACACACAGCGACGCTGTCACGTGCGATAAGAAATATATATAATTTTCGTTCACACGTTTAAATTTTATTTTGTTAATTAAAATTTTTTTTTATTTTGTATTATATACCAATTTTAGTTTTAAAAGTTAAATTTTCTTTGCTCGACCGTCATCGCGTCACATCTAAAAGTGAAAGCATAAAGCTCTACTTGATCGTGTAGAGCGATCGTTTTACGTCAGTTGCATAAATGAGCGTTACATATATTGTTAGTATGAGGAATCGATATTGTTATAATATTCAAGAATCCACGCGAAAAGGCATTGGCGTGACGGGCGGGGCAGCAACACGAAGATGCCTTTGATATCGATCGCCTCGATTCGCCATGTTCTGCGAGAGGGGGATGATTCATCCCCCATTATTCACGATTTAATTCGGCGCAAAAGCCGATCGAATTCGTTTTTGTGAAATTGACCGCAAAACAAATAGTTCTAACCTAAGAACACAAGCAAGGAAATTCTAAGTGATATCACACACAATGATTAAAATCCATTTCGTCGAATTTAATCGCCCAAACAAAACGATTTCACCACCACAAAAGTGTAGCCGTTGCTTGTGTTGTGAATTTGACTTCTCAGAAATTACTTTCTTCAGCACTAGATTTCCAGTACAAAATATACAAAAATGTTGATTTTTTGCATTTTTTATTAACAATTCTCTCTTTCTCTTTCTACAAAAATTTATTGCAATCTATTATTAATACAACTTTAATTTAATATAGAAGTTGTACGGCTATAATAAGTATTGTTTAGCTATAATAGTAACTTATATAGCTGTAAAATTTACGTGTATGAAATAAATTAAATATGTATTAAACATTTTATAAATATTTGTTGTTTAGTCGTTTATAAAATATAATAAAAAGCATTCAACTTCAATCAAGAAAAACCCGATTAACTCGTTCGCTATACTTTTGCTACTTCTGCTCTCCAAGTATAAATCGGGGCTCTCTTAGATGTATAAATACATCCTAACTTCATTAATTGATATCAATATAATCAGAGCTAACGCAAATTTCATGTCTTATATTAATATGAATTTATTAAAATTTTATATCAACTTCTCGCGCTCTTTAACTGTAGCCAAAAGTAAAAATATATATTTATTTTTCTTGTACTTTAGAAAGGAAGTATCGTGCTAAATTCGCGTGAAATTAGAACGCCATAATATTTCCAGTTTTGATTTTTTGGTATAAAAAATGCGGAACTTTTTTATTTTGATAAGAAACTGTAGAACTATAAAAAGTGCTATTGGAACTATCATTATTTTTTTATATTAACAGAATGATGTTTCTTATAAAAACGAAAAAAAGTTCCGCATTTGTTACTAAAAAACCAAAATTAAAAAAGAAGCAACCGAAACTCTGTTTAAAAATGACTGTATAGCATAGAATTTTGCTAGAACTATCAAGAAATGTCGCTGAAATTGCGATAAATTAACGACATGACTTTTTTTCAAGTGCCGTGATGTCTTCAATGTCTCGTACATTTAAAGTCTATTAATTGTCGAAATTTTATTTTCAAATTATTGCAATATCAAACATTAAATTGTTCGTATATCTCAAGGATCTCGGTAAATGCGCAGTACGGCGTAAAGAGGCGCTAATGCTAGAATTCTGCTCGAGTTGCACGCGTCATGAGTCACAAGTCTGATGACAGCCAGTCATTAATTAGAACCAATTAAGGGCGGCCATCGCGAAACGTGGACGTCTTGCCCTCTCGAACAAGAAGGTGACATCCCGGCGTCTCTTCCTGCCTGATGTTATCGTTTACGAGCGGCGCAAGCCGCCTTCATTCCGTTGTACGTAAAACGAAGCGCCAGCAAGTACTTAAAACAGCGTGAAAAGATAATTAAGAGCATTTGACGAATGACAGGATATGCCTTTGTTCACTTTAGGGAATTACCGACGCGATACTGAACGCGTACTTTTTCAAGGGATAACTCAAAGGAAGACAAAAAGTGATCAATTTTGAGATGTTTTGAGATTAGAAAAAAATAAACACACTCTCTCCCTATGTGTCCGGTAGAATTTGTAAAGTAAAAGATAGTAAGGATTTTTGTGCAATAAATGCTCTCGACATTCTGTTTTAATGAAAGAGTTGTTTATTTTAATGAAACATGTATTAATTAGAAATAGACTACACAAATATAGTTGTTTAAAATAAATGTAATAATAACATAATTTCGAATAATCTGAAAATGCTTAAAATATCAATATAAATTTTGCAACTCTCGGCTTTGAGTCGTTTCGCTGTCCCACCACACATCCGGGTTTTACCTGCGCGCAGTCTCAAAAAATATTGCATAACTTTCTAAATATTTATAGAATTTTCAAAATGATTTTAGAGACATTCTCTAAATGTTAAATTTTCAACAAATACAAAAAATTTTTTCAATTTTTTTATCGTTTCAATAAAACTGATCTCTTAATACCTGTTTAAAAATTAATATCTTGAAATTAATTGTATTAAAATATACTATTCCTTGCTTGCAAATGTTTGAATTAAAAATTAAATAAAACACTTGCAGTAAAATGTTTTAAAAATAATCGAAATGTTATTATTTTATTATTGTTATTATTTTTATTAAGTATTTTACCGTTAGTAGGAAAATGTTGGGTGATATCGAATAGCAGTTGATACTGGACAAGAATTAAAAGTTGTTTAAAATTTTAGACGCGTACAGCAGTGGCGTTTTTTCGTTATGCAACCAGAAGCAACCATGGCTAAGGCTATCTTCGTCTTCTGATCCCTGAAGACGAAGATAGCCTTAGTTGTGATAGCTTTTAGTTGGATAACGAAAAAACGTCCCAGAATTGTCAAGCCACTAGCAAGTCCATTTGCACATGAGAGCCGAGACCGGAACCTCCGCATATTCAAAAAAAAGAAGCAATGTTATTTATGAATTATTGAACATTTTGCTATGTGGCTGTTACGTTACGTCGGCACGGAGTAATTCTATAAACCCGTCATATCATAAATATATAAAGCTTCTATTATTCTCTTTAAATTGTGGGTTTAAAATCTTTTTTGTTTTAAAGCTGCTTGTTTTATATGTCGTTTTATCATTGCGTGCCATTCGGGGATAGCGAACAATAAAGTGGCGGACAATACTGGACAGTCTAATCTAAGTAGTCAACGAGATTTAATTTTTGACAGTTTTGTTTTGTTATCGGTAAATATGGGGAACATATGTATGAGACAAAGAAAAAAAGATAATGTGATATTAGTTGTCAAAAAATAAGGAAATGACAACAGAAGCAAGTCAGTGAGATTCTGTTCCAAAAAGTATAATAGGATATAAATTAACTCCTAATCAACTCCTAATCGATAATTTTCTAAATCTTCACAACTTGTCTGCTGCAGGCATTATTCGGAAATAAAACGTTTAATTGAACAATTATAATTATTTGGTTGAAGGATTATTATAATTGTTAGATAATTATAATTGTCTGTGCTCAAAATATACTTTTAGACTTTTTATAGATTTAAATTAATACACTAATCTAATAATAAAGGATATTGATGTAACTTTTTCTCTGTAGGGTGGAAATGTGAAAAGTGAAAATTTTTATGTATTGTATATACATACGCATACAAAAAATGTTCACTTTTCACGTTTCTGCCTGAGGGACAAATTAACCTCTAGAAGCTATAATCATTAAAAGCTTGAGGGGATCTTAAAGCCGTCTATATTACAAAAAATTTTTCTTAAGATTTCAATTTCAAATTTCAAATTTTTTGTCGTTCTCGGCATAAACTCCATCTCACAGACATGTATAAATGCGTATATTTTAATCCTGTACAAGGATTTTTGAATCTGTAAAACAGGAAAAAAGTAATTGTTTTCGGCTTCGAAATCTAGATTTTAAAATATATGTGATCCTTCGGTTTAGTTTCCTACGCGAGATGCATCGGTTGCATCTTATTTTCCTAGCGGATTATAGCATGTACAATATTGCGCTTGACTACAATGTCGGATTATTTGACACATGTTCTGATAGGTAAATGCAGTTTAAACGCGTCGCTAATTATAGTATTACCTGTTTTCGCTGCCACTGTTTGTCGATTTAACCGTCTCTGTGGACCGGTTGTTCCATCTTTTGGTAAATTTTACCTGTGAGGTAAATCTAGTAATCCGTACATGTGATTGGATAATCTTGCTACTTACCCAACAGGTAAAATTTACCAAAAGATGGAACCGGCAACCGTAATGTCAACCGTTATCAAGATGGACAACCGTGTTGTCCTCTTTTTCTATTCGAATAGCTGAGCAGGTCTTTTATATTCGCGTGTAATCTCTCGCGATTCCGAGAAGGCGATATTCTTCGGATGAAAATTATATCTTTACGAAATGAATTTTCACTTAGGATAATGGCGATATAACCGCCACAATACAAAAATTATGATTTAGCCGGTATTACAGGCAGCTTTAGGAACTGGCTCAATACTGGACTGTGAAGAATCTAAATTCTAAAAGAATACTCGCGCAGACAATAATCTTTCAACAGTTACAAAGCTGCTTTTTTGTTAAATATTAATACAACTAATATTTCAAGTTTTTATCATTTCAGTTTTTATCATGTATATTACATTTCACTTTTACCCTTCAAGAAAATAAAACCTTATAAAAATCTGTACTTGATACTACCTAATTATTTCCTAACTTAATTTACTGTCGCCTCTCCTTTATAATTTGTTTATTTAATATAAAATGATAAATTTAATTTAGAACCACATGATCCGAATTCCTATCATATTATACGATACGTCAAAACAGCATTATCAAACATTATCGCTTTATTTTTCTGCGAACTTACATATCTACAACTTGATAAAATTATCTCTCACAAACATGCAAGCGACAATTTGCGGTTAAAGAAACTTATAAATTCTTAAACTTCATAAATTCTTACCAGCATTTCACTGTGTGGTTTCCGGCAATAAAAATTCCAACTCTCTTACGTTTCTTTAAAGCATCACTTTCTCGAATGGATTTCGAAAAATCTTCACGTATGGTCAATTAATTACTTCCAATGTCATTAAAATATAATAAAGAGATTCAATCACTCAATGTTTACAGTATAGATTTACTTAGTTCGTGAGCTTCTTACGCTTTATTATCGAAACAAAATTTGAATAGATATAATAATATTCGAAAAAATATATGTGTAGTTAATTGGTGTTACGGACTAGAGTAAATACATATGGCAAGTGCGGATCGGCGATTAAAATCGACAGTGAACAACAACGGCAGGAAATTGCAACGGACGGACAGACAACCGTCGAAGGCTGCGGACCGCGTAGAACTGCGGATTGAGGGCTGAAAAGAGTATCAACGTACCAGGCCGCTCCACCACACCACCTTCGGTGGTTCCGCCTTTGTTACGTACTCGGCCTCCTGATGCCGAAACCGGTGTCTAACATGTGCTGTGAAAAACACAAATCAGAATAGTATAACAGAATCGTGTGTGCGGAAAATCAACTTCCCGATATTTGAGAAAGAAAAATAAGAGTCTGAGAAACGTTTACTTTAAATGAAATAAATTGCCCCATTCTTAACTCTTGATAATATTTAAAATAAAATTCTCTTTTTTAAATAAGAAACTATGTAATATGATTTACGATTATTAAAAATGTTTGTATGTATTGTCGTTTTGCTTAAGATTAATGAGTCTATCATTTCTCTTTCTTTAAATGTTAAATATATTAATGTTAATCTTTAAAGATAAATCATCAACATAGGTCTTTATAATAAAAGTTTAGATGTAAAAACAGTATATAATTTTGTTTAGTTTTGTATAAAAATTATATTCAAGGATCTGATATTTCTGAAAATTATATGCGCTAAAGTATAATTAATAAAAGTAAGACGTTTATTATGTTATGTGAACTTCATCGCGAATGTTGGTGTATAAATTATACCAAATTATACATAACGTGATAAATATAATTTAACCAAATGGGATGTACTTACCAAAAAATCAAAAAGAAGTTCTTCTTCTTGATATCCCCAAAATAATTTTTCAACTCACAAATTTTCAAATAAAGCTAAACTTCAATAAGCTGTTTATATCAGAAAATAATTTAACATTGAAAATGCATAGTTCCATCCAGAATTCATATAGTCTAACCAAGATAAGAAAAGACAAATATTTTTTTAAATACTTTAAGAATTTCTTATTCACTCCGAGTTTATTTATAGTTTTCTACATTTAAGTTCTTTATGAATTAGTGTATCTAATCTGTTCGAAATGAATTCAAAAAGAAAAAAAATGCACACAACTACATTTATATGGTAATCTGTATACATGTTACCTTTAGTCAAAATAATATTTAATCTGCATAAAAATAAAAATATGATTTATTATTATACAAAATTAAGAAATAGAAAAAGATTAGAAAAATAATGCTTTTGAATTTGAAAAAGCGCTTACAATTGGTAATATAAGAGTGAAATTTTTTTGAATTCTCAAAAAACTTTTAAAACACAATAGTAAAACGATACAGAAATTTATTTCCTAGTAATAAATTAGAAATTAAAAAAGAACTCTTTTTTTTCGAACTTTGTATTATCTGGGTTTGCACCGAGAATGAGAGAAAAAGAGAAATAAAGAAAAAGGGAGCACGTACGGTGTTACCAAAATAGCGCTTCTTATTATATGTACGTGTGAAATAATGTAAACGAGAAAGCCATTGGCGTTCTGTTGCAAATTCGACATTACAAATAAAAGTTTAACGACGATATTTATTTATACGTACTTTGTTTTGGAATTTTTAAATAAAAAAATATCGAAAACAAGATAGAGTAAATCAGAGACGAAAATAATATATTTTAAATTTGAAATTTTATAACAATATAATTTCTACGTTAAAAACAACCTATATCTTTAGATGTAGAATTTATTTAACTATGTAAAATAATACATTATATACTTTCACTAAAAAAAAATATATATTAGATTTTGTGCACACATTAAAACATATTAGATGTATTAAAAAAAAACTTACACGTATATATATATATACCTGTTATAGTTCCAAAAATATTAATGATTGTACCCTGTTGCTTTTGTCCCTGTAGGTAGCGTAGAAGATTCTAGCGATATTACAAGAATGTTGCAACATTTCTACAATATTGTTGAAATGCTTTCTGGGCCCAGTTATTCATTTTAGTAAATTATTTATCTAATTTCGTTTATTAGTAATTTAATTTAAACTAAATTTATTTTTTGTATAATTCTTTTAATTTTACGCGTCTTTAATTTCAGAATATTAAAATTGACGCGAATGTATGCATGTAATATAAAATATAATAAATTAAACTAAATGTATAAACAACCATGGGCATTTGGAGTCAACACTAGATATTTGTTGCGTAAAATTATCTTATATTTATAACATATATTATTACACTAATTTGGACGTTTCGGCTAACAATTTTGAGCCATCCTCAGCAATAATAATTACCGCTAATCATCCCTATTGTTTAGCTGCATCTCGCACAATCGCAGCTCCGACCATACTACAATTGTATTGGAAATGTGGTGAGAGACAACCATCTTCAACATAGTCAATGTTGTGCCATCCAGTTGCTTAGCTGAGTGAAATTGATAGTGGAACTCAAGCTAATAATTGCAACACAATATATTTATATTAAGAAATTTTTAACCAAATATTAATTGATGTAGGTTGATTAGTAACTCACCAGATCTCCAATCACAAATGCAAGTGAATCTAAGCATCGTCAACAGACACCATTATCATGATATTCGATGTTAAATACATTACTTCAACAACATAATAGTACCGAATATATAGAGAAAAATTCTCTGCGTGTTATCACAAATTCTTTCCTTACACAAAGCGAGTCGCGCGAACGAAACGTGTCGGTCAATAATACAAATAAACATGCTATAGCTTATTGAGAATTTCTATGTATCCATGATTCAAAGCCTCAGTGTCAGTTTTTATGTTCAGATCATTAGATTGACGATTTATATACAGTATCTCGGACATTAATCGCTTATTATAATTTCTCTCAGAATCCAGAACTCTCACATTATCCCAATCAAATTCGTGACCGAAATTAACTCTATGTTTAGTAATGACCGACCGAGTGGATGTGACTCTACGAATATGACTGCGATGTTCAACCAATCTAGTATTCAATTTTCTTCCCGTTTGTCCCACATATGTAGCATCACAGTCTCGACATTTTATTTTATACACTACATTTCTTTTGGAATGCTTAGGTAGTGGATCTTTGTGCACCATAATAAACTTATTTAATTTATTAATACTGTAATGGGCCACCCTGTGACACATACCATTAATGAATTTACAAAACTTGTTGGACACACCATTAATGAACGGAATTGTGAACCACCTAATGTGTTCCTTATTGGCAGAATCACCATCAGTCCTACTCATACAATTAGATTTTTTTATTAATTTTTTTATCCTGTTATTCAACGTCTCAAAAATAAAATCCAACGGATAGTCATTCTCCAATAAAATATTAATTATGAAATTTAGATTTCTTTTGTGGAACTCTGGATGTGAGAGATAAAACACTCTGTCAATCAAACTAAAAATTGTGCCTTTCTTTTGTGAGATCGGGTGCTGGGACCAATAGTTCAAAAATCTTCCCGAAAAGGTGGGTTTTCTATACCAATCAAAAATTAGTGCGTCATTCTTTATAATAATTGTAGTGTCCAAAAAAATTATAATAAATTATTCTATGTAATAATGACAGCAATTATATTTATTTTAAGCATAACGAATGTTATAACTTTGTTTTCACGAAAAATATTTTCTTTCGGTAGTTCAAATGTAGGTGGACTACTTTGAATATATTGTTAACGGTTGTCGTAGGGCTGTTAGGCACGTATACGCATACACATTTTTCGTATTCAACCGTCGACCATACATGCGAATATAGGTATGCACGATGAATAGTATATCCGAACCAGACGATCACAGATGCACAAAAGCTTCGGTGTGTGCGACAGACATGCTGGTTGGCACAGGCACCTGGCCACGATGGGGTCGAGAATGAACGACGTGTACGGGTCGTTTTATGATGGTGAGCTCGCAAGGAAGGCTCGGTTGTAAGAAGGGTCCCCCTCACGTACACTATCGATCCCGACGGTTTCTTATTTTTTTCCGATCCTGAAAGAAGTCGAAAAAAAAAGAATAAGAACCACGTCATTCCTGTCAGCAATTCTTGTCTGTTAATTGCTTTCTTCATGTATTTTACATTAGAAAGAGATTTTTCGCAAACTAATAAGAAGTGAATAACGATGACATGGGAGATAAAATCATCAAATTTTTTAGTTAATAAATGCGTAGTATATTTATCACTTGTAGAATTATAGCCGTAAGGCTGATTAGGTATTAATAAACAATCAGAATAATTACGAGATTAGTGGAGCAGTGCGTGAACATGCTTTAGTGTCTAGATTTGAGAAAGATCTCGAGTTTTCGAATCTCAGTCGACTCTGTTAATCTTTCCATCGCTTACACATCGAATGTTATCATCGATTAAAATATAAATACAATGTGTACAATTCCGCGAACAATTAAGGAATATTATAATTGCCACAAAGGATTAACAATAAGCGGAAATTACAATAAAGCGGGACAAGTATGATTGATTACCTCCTTTTATTATCACATTTTTTTGTAAATTAGAGAAGTTCTAGTGTCAAAGCTCGAAGCGTTTTGACGGTCATTATAATAATCAGCTGTTTTGCTCAAGATGCGTTCTATTTGGCGCTCATAACGCTCGTGAGCATTATTTATCCTTGTTTAACATTTGATAAATAACAAGAATGAAATTATTCCATGTGCGTTGAGAGCGTCAAGTAGAACGTACCCTCAGAAATCTTTAATTAGTGTTATTAGGATTGTGCTTCGACATATACTGTCAACTGTTAGTACTGAAAATCTATAATGTACGCAAGCGTGAATTATATAAAGAAATAATAATATTAAAAGAATTAATATAATAATATAAAGGAATAATATTAAAGGAATATTAACAATAAATTTTTTTCTTCTTTTAAATAAATTCGGTATAAAGTATGAAACCATATTCACTATTGAATACTTGGATCAAATTGCTGAATTTATATTTGCGAAGCTCAATATAGATTGACATAGGGAGAAATTCGTTAAAGAGAAGATTGATGTTGCAGGTGGTTTTGTGGATATTGCTTTTATTATTTCAACCTATTGAATCTGTTTCATTCGGTTAAAACAGTAAGTACGTCTAATCAAGTTTTCATGCACAAAGTGTGTTTCAACTCAGCTTTGTATTAATTCGGTATAAAATATGAAACCATATTCACTATTGAATACTTGGATGAAATTGCTGAATTTATATTTGCGAAGCTCAATATAGATTGACATAGGGAGAAATTCGTTAAAGAGAAGATTGATGTTGTGGTGGTGGTTTTGTGGGTATTGCTTTTATTATTTCAACTTATTAAATCTGTTTCATTCGGTTAAAACAGTAAGTACGTCTAATCAAGTTTTCATGCACAAAGTAGGTTTTAACTCAGCTTTATATTAATTCCTTGCATTGGCATATATATAGAGTATATTTCTAAAATATCAGAAATTGTTAATCGAAGTAGTCAATATCGAAAGATGTTGAAAGACATCTTTTGGTTGGACATTTTATTTAAAGGAAAATCGAAATATTAGAGAATTCATATTATCATAATAAAGATTAGGATCTTTAATGATGACAATGAATACTGTCATTGAAAGAATCAAGAAAAATCATACAGATAAGTAAATATTTATAGATTTCGCAAGCTCAACGGTCTCTATTTAGAAAATAATTATTCGAGTGAAAGTCCTTATTGATCCTGAAAGTCCTGTTACAACTTAAACAGTGGCGTATAGCAAGAATGCGTACTAAACATAAACTTTTTCGCCCGCCTTTGGCTCTTTCTAGGTTAAACGGATTTTTAATAGTTGATCACCCGCATCTGTTATCTCTTGACATGATCACGTGACAAGGTTGGATTACTTGTCATGATAACAGATGATCGCCCGGTTTCGAAAATGCTAATTATTATGCGGTGATTAACGTTTTTTTTTGGTATAAAATCACATTACTTTATTTGAACGTATAGATCTAAGTTTAGAACTTTTAATTATATTATAATTACCCAATTTCCTTGCTTCTGAATGATTCCCATGGCTTTGAGGCGTCTTGAAATGGCTTGTTGAGTCACTCCCAATGATCGTGCCAATTCTTCTTGATTTTGACACGTGTCAAGTAATGCCTCCAATTCTGCATCTTCGAAAACCTTCTTTCTTCCACCGCTATGCCGGTCTTCGATGTCAAAATCACTGTTCTTGAAGCGTTGAAACCATTCACGACACGTTCTTTGACTAATAGCAGCCTCACCATAAGTATCCGTTAGCATTCGATGAGCCTCAGCCGCAGATTTCTCCATATTGAAGCAGAAAATTAAAACTTCCCGCAAATGACGAGAATTTGGCTCGTAAACTGACATTTTCAATCGAGAATATCTTTATGATACAGAAACAAATAGACTAATTCTATGAGGTTATGTTGACGGATGCCCAAGTTTATTCTTCTTCTTCTTGAATTTTTAATGGGCCCTGGTCCCCTGTAGCGAGGTAAGCTTGGCCAGTCGCGTCTAAGAAAACAAATCAGTCTACTAACTGTAAAATGAAATGCAATGCACCGGCTGCCTCGAACCGGGCGAGTGGAACAAAAGGATGATGTAATCCAAATGAAGATGGTGATGCACCCCTTCTAACACTGGACGCCTGCGGCTACGACGCTTCCACGCCGCACGGCCACGTGCCAAGACGAAAAAAGGAACTGTGAGTAGTGAAATGCAACGGCACAGTCAAAGTCGGTAACGCTTTTCAAAAACATAATCGAGGTGACGCAACACCCGAGACGAGAATTCACGAGAGGGAACACGTCCGCTCGAGTGGTCTCACGAGATTCCAACTTAAACCTTCGAATGCCCAAGTTTGGCTGTGTTCCAAAATTCACTGCCAGCGCTGAAAATCTACAGTCTGCGTCACATGTACTATACATTTTCAGCACTGACAGTGAATTTTGGAACACAGCCTTTATTGTATGCCGTCTATGATCTATTTATTTCGACCACCACTTACCGCTAAAGCCATCTATAGGAAAAACGGCGGAAGCAAAGTTGTACACCTAAAACTCCCAAGGGGATGCTGGAGGGACCCAATTATCGACATTGCAGTTTGATCAAAATCTCCGAATTGACTAAATGGAATAAAAAATCCTTTTACAGGATTAAAATAAATGTGGTGCAATGGATGTTATACTATAAAATCGAAAAAAAGTACAAAATTTTTTTAACTTTTTTTTTATTTTAATATAAAATCTATTGCACCACGTCAGGATTTTGCTTTTACTTTAATCCTATAAAAGGATTTTTTTATTCCATTTAGTCAATTCGGAAATTTTGATCAAACTGCAATGTCGATAATTGGGTCCCTCCAGCATCCCCTTAAAATAATTAAATTAATTCCTTTTCTCTCTTAAAAAAAGAAGTCAGACGTGATAGGATCAAGCTATTATATCGTGCGCTGCTCAATTAATGCAGTTTGTGACGCAAGAAGTATCGTTTGTCTATAAGATGGGCATCGATTCGCATCACGCACATGAATCGAACATATGATGATAATGATTGAAGAGTGAGGTGTATTTTACTTCTCGTGGGTGCGCCAACGCCCAACCCTATCACGCTCCAGATACTATTTATCCCGACACGCCCTCGCTATGCTATGTCTCTTAACAACCATCGCGTAAAGTATATCAATTGTAATCTGTAGTAAACGATCTATGTTGTTTAATAATTTAATGACAAAATAACTTAAATTCTTTTGCCACAAATTATCTTATAAATAATAGTAATATTATGAAATTATAATAAGCACTTTATAAATACATCTGATAAAAATTTTTTGTGTAAATTGAATGTTTAATTTATGTTAAATGAAATGTTTAATTTGTTTTATTTCTTGTTTTTAATCAGTTCGATTATTTTTTAAGATTCACCACCGACGAGATACTATTAAAGACCGACATCCTTACGGGAGTTCGCGTCCTTGTGAATATTGAAATAATGATTAATGCCCAATTTCTTCACTTTCAGATAAGTTGCGGATAACTTTATCTAGGAGATATCTCCATTGTATTCTGGGAGATATCTCTTGGATAAAGTTATCTAGAGATGAAGTAATTGGGTATAAGAGTTAAAAACTATTATTAGTTTAGTAGATGTATTTATGCATTTATAACTCAATAATACTCGATTTTTCTTTAAAATTGAGATTTCAGTGTTATCATCAAAGTTTGATTATCAATAAAGATGATAATTGCAGAAAAAAATTGTGATTTTTTTGCAATATATAGGATATTACAGCTTTACAAGTATGTATATTTATTTGTGGAACATTTATGTAATAAAAAATCATGAATTTAATAATGCATGAGTCAAATATTTATGTTAATAATAGCAAATTTATATCAATTGTCGGTAATGTCAGCGTTCTTGAGTTACCTCCGGCCCCTTGAGGCCCTTTTTATACCGCCGAAAATTTACCTAGGGTTGACGGTTTTTAATAATATCTCGTCGGTGGATTCACTTTTTTTTAGTGCCATTGAATATCAAAATAAAATGTCTAATTTATATACATATAAAATTTGCTTAAATAAAATTGCTAAAATTGCTAAAATTGCTAAAATTGCTAAAATTGCTGAAATTGCTAAATTTGCTTTATATATTACAAAATTCGTTAAGTTGATATAAAATAAGAATAAAGATCAACAATGGAAAAAAAAAGTTAAAAATTTAAATATAATGAACAAATTTTGACATTATTTTTAGAATCTACAGACAAAAGATGATTGTTGTTACAATTTCTGTGAAATATTTCGCGTCGAATAATGTAATCAAATAACATAAGAGAAGTAACACGAAATAATTTTGTCGATGCGTTTCGGCTACTCTCCTGATATTTCGAATATATACAGTCTCGCTTCTGCGTTTTATTAATCGTTTTATTGTTACACAGGCACATCTGCGTATTATTAATCGTTCCCATGCTCGTTCTATTTATTTCTTCATGTCGGGGGAAACTGACTCGCCGCGACGCTGCACTGTTTCATCCAGTACGTGGTTTATTTAATTTCGCCGGGTATTAAACAGTGAATAGGGACGAGAATGAACGTGGGCGACGGCACGTGCATACTGCGCCGTAAGTGTAGCCAATTTACGCAATTCAAAATCATTCATGGAACTGAGACTCCAAGTAATTGTTTCGTATCTCTTGAATCTATCGAAAACGCTTGGCGAAATTAGGGCCCTGTTTTACAACTCACGGTTAACTCTTAACCGAGGTCCAACTTATTCATTATCTCTTTCCAATTTTAGAATTGGAAAAAATTGAGAAACTAGTTGAACCTCGGTTAAGAATTAATTAACTGTGAATGCTCAAACTGGGCCTAATACTATTAATTTGTGTTTGCCGGAAATACAGGGTGGGGAAAAAGTATGGAAGCAAACAATTATTTCCGAAACTATTCATTTTTCGACAAAATGTCTTAGACATAATTTTTATGGTATGAAAAGA